TAACAGAGCACTGAATGCCAAATCATGATCGCAAAGCAATACTGCTGAAAGCGACCAGATTGTTAAAACAATAAAAATTCCATATATCTCAGGAGTAACTGACAAATTAGCCCGTGTTTTGCAAAAGCAAAACATTACAGTAAGATTTGGTACAGTACACAAAATTTAAAAACTAGTATCTTGTACTAAAGACGCATTACCTAAATTATCAACAGAAGGTGTATATCGGATTAATTGTTTATGTGGCAGCTGCTACATTGGACAGACGGGACGTAACATCAGCGTAAGACTAAAAGAACATCAGATAAATATTAAATTATCTCAAACACAACTGTCAGCAGTGGCAGAACATGCTTGTCAACAAGGACACTCAATTGATTTTGACAATGTTGCAGTGGTGTGTAAAACGAATTATTACTGGCAAAGACTAATTAGAGAATCCATTGAAATTGAGAGGAACAAGAATAACTTTAATCGCTCTGACAGCTACAGGCTTAGTGCGGCCTGGAAGCGTATTATTAAATAATACACATTACATTTTGATTTAAAGAATTACTAATCTACAACTCATTACTAATCATAACCATTGACTGATTATCAATCGATTATATAATTACAATACCCCCCCCCTCCGCCTCTAATCACTGCACCTGATATGAGTTAAGTGATGACGTCACCCTGCTGCTCTATATAAAACCGGGAGCAAGCGAGGGCTTTACCATTCTGGCGAATTGCCCGATGATTGCTGGATTTATTTACCAGCGAAACGTCGTACTCAAACTGTAAATGTGGATTTACTCTTCAACACACCGGTGGGCTAAAGTAGTGAACTATTTGTCTTTTTGTCAACGTGACACTTTTTTTGCTGATTGTCCATGTCGGGTGGTGGAGGGTTACGACACATTTATAAATAAACGCGATCTAACCCAAAAACCTTTATTATGAATTACCCATCTCTGTATTGGTGATACCACACTGATGAGTCTGATCAATGACTAAATGGGCCTAGAGTTACCCATCTCTGTATTGGTGATGATACCACACTGATGAGTCTGATCAATGACTAAATGGGCCTAGAGTTACCCATCTCTGTATTGGTGATGATACCACACCGATGAGTCTGATCAATGACTACATGGACCTAGAGTTACCCATCTTTGTATTGGTGGTGATACCACACTGATGAGTCTGATCAATGACTACATGGGCCTAGAGTTACCCATCTTTGTATTGGTGGTGATACCACACTGATGAGTCTGATCAATGACTAAATGGGCCTAGAGTTACCCATCTCTGTATTGGTTGTGATACCACACTGATGAGTCTGATCAATGACTACATGGGCCTAGAGTTACCCATCTCTGTATTGGTGCTACCTGACAGCAGTCGGTCAGATTTGCTCTGATTTATTTTGACAGTGACCAAAGGTAAGAGAACCACAATGCACTGCTTAAGAAGAAACCGTTTATTTGCAAGTAAAACATGATTTTACAACCTGCGCTGTTATGATCGGATTTTTTCGTCAATTACAGGTTTAAATACTCTTTGTTGGTGATATTAAAGGAATTACCAACACTGGATCAGGGCCACAAATACGAATATCTTGCCATGATCGTTTGAGCAGGAAGACAGTTTTATCAGTAACATAATTTTTTCTAAATTAATAGTCTAAAACAATTAATGATTCCCTTGTCTCACATGCAAGAGATAATTCTGAATATAAATGCTGTCACCCAGTCACACACAGGATTAAATGTGCCCATTTAAAGTGTACATAATTATCCACAATGAAATTACAGCAATACACCTGTCCGTAGCAGCATCTTTCACATGTCGATGCAGAAAACTTCAAAACCGACTTTGCCATCCATATAATTACACGTAATTTCATTAATACACGTTCTTTCTGAGAGGTGCATAAGTGATAAGGTCGCAATATATAAAAACAAGTAGCAGACACAGTTCGCACTGTTTAATGGAAGTGTCTGGGTGGCTTTGGGCTAACACTATGCCCCGAAACAGAGACATGAGATTGGTACAAATTCCACGCATGGTTATTTTTTATTTTAATGGCTAAACAGATGTCACATTATGTTCAGTGTATTTGGTAATGTTGTTCAGTGTAGCGCAGTGATAAAAGTGTCCAACCTATAACCAGATAGTCGCCAGTTCAATTCCCACACAAGAGGTAGATTCTGCAATTATTCCAGTTTAACACGGAAGCTTTCGCGACCAATTATTCCGCCGGGATTGACGCAGTAAGTGCCGCTTTGTGGAACGGCAACGATCGCTTCGCAGACATGTCCTTAAAAAATACCTTCATTGGCTGAGAAACTCCCGTGAAAATAAGCATCAACCAATGCTCACTTAGGCTTGATGACATTTTCTTACTATGTCTCTTTGGCCATTTGAATTCATGGCCAAACATAAAATGGCCAGAGTGGAGCCGGGCCCGAACAGCGTGGCTTTTAACTGCAGGCCGACCCACTATTTGTCGGCGTTCGGCTGGCCTCTTGACCAGCGGAAGTCGGTTTGCGATGTGGCGGGATTGCGTGCGGCACGACGCCTCATTAATTTAAATTTGCAATCGTCGCGAAGATTCTGTGACGCTTTCGTTGCCGGTAATCTACAGCTCACTCCAGCGCTGTCCTCCAGACAGTCTCGTCCCTTCACCTGATGAAGGCCGCTTGTGTTGTGGCCGAAACGTCGTGATTTTTGTTATTTTATTTTTTACCTACGTGACTTTACCCAATAGAACCAAAGAGTATGGATCTACAGCCTCCTTGAACACCCCCCACCCCCCCAGCTTGCCGACCAAAGCTCTGACGAGCTGAGCTTTGACCGACAACTCGCTCCGTGTTCTGCATTCCTGAAATCGGTGCCCTGCCGAAAACGCAACAGCAATCGCCGCACAGCCTGCCGATCTATCTGTTGTGCGGCTCGATGGCCAGGTTCCTGCTGACACGCGGCTTGCGCGGCCAAAACGTGGTCATCCCAAATGTTGCCAAGGGTGTCTTTGCTGAACGACGGCGGCAGCGGCGGCGACGACGACTCCATCTCCTGACCCACCTCCACAGGTGGCGTCTGCACCGACTTGGGCACCAGATGCTGCTCCTCCTGCTGCTGTTGTTGCTGCTGTGGCTGCTGCTGCTGTGGCTGCTGCTGTTGCTGCTGCTGTTGTTGTTGTTGCTGTGGCTGCTGCTGCAGCTACTGTGGCTGTTGCTGTGGCTGCTGCTGTGGCTGCTGCTGCTCCTCCTTCTGCTGTTGCTCCTGCTGCTGTTGTTGTAGCTGCTGCTGCTGTTGCTGTGGTTTCTGCTGCTGCTGCAGTTGCTGCTGCTGCATCATTTGTTGCTGTTGTTGCTGCTGCTGTGGCTGCTGCTGTGGCTGCTGCTGTTGCTGCTGTTGCTGCTGTTGCTGCTGCTGCTGTTGTTGCTGCTGTTGCTGCTGCTGTTGCTGCTGCTGCTGTTGCTGCTGCTGCTGTGGCTGCTGCTGTTGTTGTGGCTGCTGCTGCTGCTGTTGCTGTGGCTGCTGCTGCTGCTGCTGTAGTGGCTGTGGCTGCTGCTGCTGCTGCTGTAGAGTTGACTGGTGAAGAGGCACACGTGGTATGGCTGAGGCTGAGTGGGAGGGCTGCTCAGAGTGGACAGCAGGATTTTCCTGAAGCTCCATGACCTGCTTCCTGTTGAAGTTGTATTTACTGAAGTGTTCGAACACAGGGGGAGGACGTAGAGTTAGAACAGACACACAGGTCCATGCCTGTGTGTGTCTAATCATGTTAGGTTCAAGCCCATCTTGACACACACAGGTCCATGCCTATGTGTCTCATCATGTTAGGTTCAAGCCCATCTTGACACACACAGGTCCATGCCTGTGGGTCTAATCATGTTAGCTTCAAGCCCATCTTGACACACACAGGTCCATGCCTGTGGGTCTAATCATGTTAGGTTCAAGCCCATCTTGACACACACAGGTCCATGCCTGTGTGTCTAATCATGTTAGGTTCAAGCCCATCTTGACACACACAGGTCCATGCCTGTGGGTCTAATCATGTTAGGTTCACACCCATCTTGTGAACCTTGAACCCAATATCACACCGTGCCCTTGACAGCAATATAATAATTTCACATCAATAAAAACATCTAGGATGTACTGCAGTAATTAACACCACTGCATAGTACTGTCGTTTGTAGTAGTTTGTCCTCAATATAACATAAGTGGAAACAACCATGGGGCAAAATCCGAAAACCATACTCCCCAATCTCTAAAAATTAAGAGTGTGCAACTTAATGTTGTTATGTTTAAATAACGGTTGCTAAGCACAGGCCCAAAATACTAAGAAGCCAGCAACAGCACCAGAAGAATGTCTAATCGTTTAGCGTTCATCTGCTTATTTAATTCAGCAAGGTCATGAGAAACCTCAACCATAAGGGCCCATCTACCAATGAGTCACAAGGCACCATGGGTAATGCTGGGGCCCCTCACCGAGTCTCAGGGCATCCGTGATGGACTAGGACGTGAAATTCGCACGCACAGGAATCCACATATCAGCTTCATTTAGGCGTCATGGATATTGTTTAAAATATTTGCCATCTGTTGCACAATGGCATACTCGTTGTTTTTTTTAGTAGTCTCTCGTCATGCCAACTTGACAACAGTATTTGTCCTCTGGAGACACTGGCCTCCACCGTGTGACTGTTGGATTGACACGACTACCTCGGTCCCACCGACATCGCTCATTTGACCTGGGACAACTTTCACTTTGACTAACAGTTAATCTTAAAGCAGTGATGGTTTTGGGCAGCAGTGATGGTTTGGGCAGCGACACATAACCGGTATTCAATTTCCCTTGGGTAAATTCGGCTTTAACGGGTAACCGGTATTGGTTTGTAAACATAAATTGTGGAGAGAAAAGAGCACGTTGCTGCCTCGTGAGCCACAACTCAGCCTTAATAGGTCTCTTAAACGGTCACTTAGGAGAGCTTTGTGTTGTTTTGTCGTGCAAATCACCAAATCAGCTGCTCCACGCACGGCAGGATCACCTCCCAGGCAAGGCCAGTGAAGTGTTGCATGTACAGAGTCCACGCAGAGGGCAGCTTCACTTCTATACGGGCCAATGCTATGCTTGCAGCCGCCACCACGGATGGACGGAAACTCAGGAATACGTGGTCTGCATACACACAAACAAAGACAAAAACCCTCCGTTTAGCCTTAACAGACTGTTGGGGCAAGTGCTGCTAGCGAGTAGCAGCACCTATGAAGGTCGGCACTGTGGCACACGAGGGGGTGGGTGGCCAGCACCACGCCCGGCCGCCTTTGTCTCCACAGTGCTGGCGATGTTTACACACCGCATTGAGTTACTCATTTGAGGCCGAGTCGACCTAGGGGAGGCCCAGGACCGGTTCAGATAATCGTCACCGGTGATAGCCGTGAGCGGGCGTTGGACCAGGGTGTCCAGGGTCGTAGCTGCAGCGTAGCGCTAACCGCTACGCCACCTCTACCCTGCACACAGGAATGACAGGCAGGCACACACACAGACGCTTAAACGCACAAGCACCCAGTGAACGAGGAACGTTGGGCCAACGGCACCCTGAACATTTGAACAACATTCCGACTAAAATTTTTATTTAAAGCTTTCGTGACTGCAGTAATTCATATTCTTAGCTCTTTCGGTAAAGTCACGTTGAAGGGAAACAATAAAATAATAAAACTATATAAAACTATAAAAATTATCACGACGTTTCGACCATAACACAAATGGTCATCATCAGGTGTGAAAACCAACGGCAAGAAACATTTGAAAGAAGTGGCGGTTCGCATCAATTTATTTATTTTATTAACGGTGTTTGCTTTTATTTATTTATAAAACGTCAGCGCCACGCGCAGCGATTTGGCAGTTTATTTAGAAGGACTAGTCCATCTATGTTCTGAAAAGAGGAGAGGGGAGACGAAAAATTAATGTATGCTGTCTGAAAGCCACAGTAAGCGTGAACAATCAATTAAGACCTGTTCACGCTTACGGTGGCTTTCAGACAAGATACATTAATTTTTCGTCTCCCCCCTCTTTTCAGAACATAGATGGACTAGTCCTTCTAAATAAACTGCCAAATCGCTGCGCGTGGCGCTGACGTTTTTTAATAAATAAAAACACTGTTTAAAAATAAATAAATTAATGCAAACCGACACACCTGATGACGACCGTTTGTGTTATGGTCGAAACGTCGTGAGAATTTTTATAGTTTTATATCATTTTATTATTTTATTGTTTCCCTTCAACGTGACTTTACCGAAAGAGCTAAGAATATCAACATTCCGACGTTGGACAAAAAAAATATATATTCGGTGACGTTTCAGGCACTGCCCCTTCTGTCGCTGGTCACCTTAGCGCTGCAAGGCCGGTGCCTACGAAACGCTCCTCTACAGCTCTGCGAGCACCTTGCAGAGCGAGCTGAAGGAAGTGGGCCGTGTACTTGGTCGTGTACGCGTGCCGGTAGGACGAGCCTCCAGCCGGGGCGTCCTCACGCCGCGACAGCCACAGGAAGTAGTCCACGAAGTGCGCCGCTGTGGGCGTGCACAGGTTCCAGTCGAGTGTACACAGCAGCAGGAACTGTGCAGGGGGGAGGCAGACGGGAGAGTGGGCTGGCACGGCACAGCTGCCACCACTGCGTAAAGCATTCAGTCCGCCACGCTGCTGTGTGTTGCCTGGAGGGTTTATTTAACTATTCTAGATTTAAAGCTTTCGTGACTGCAAGGATCCATACTCTTTGGTTCTATTCGGTAAAGTCACGTAGGTAAAAAATAAAACAACAAAAATCACGACGTTTCGGCCACAACACAAGCGGCCTTCATCAGGTGAAGGGATCAGGCTGTCTCGAGGACAGCGCTGGAGTGAAACACAGCCACTCTCAGATCACGGATATTTAAGCTGTGTGCGAGGAAACAAGGTGCCTTGACAAAGGAATTAGCATAAAAATTTGCATTTGATTGGCCGACTTAGCATAGAAGTGGTGTACGTGCGGGTGAACATGCCGTTTGGCGCGGGGGGGAGGGGGAGTTTACATATTGATGGTGTGAAAAGGGAATTTAAGAGCTGCGAAAGTTTGGGGTACCACTACTTGAAAAATATACTGTACCATTGAAAATTAGTTTAATGTTTAGTTCGATTTAGAACATCTTTCCAATGGTTGCTTAACTAGTTGGGTTGGTGCATGGCTCGCAAACAGTTCAAATGTCTGGTCAAGGAGTCAACTCGGCCCTTCGTCTGCACGGGTAAATGCAATGACCGTCATATTCTTTTGGGTCTTTCGGTAAAGCCACGTAGATTGAAAAAATAATAAAAAATATCACATTCCGATCGCAACGCAAGCAAATCGTCACGGGGTGATTGTTTTATGGAGAGACTGAGCTCCACCATAGGAAGGGAGAATTTCCTGCACTTGTTCCAGCGCCGTGCAAATAAATGAGCGCCACTCCACGTTCATTTGTCAGGTCTGCTGTGGTAATGTTATTCCGCAGCTTTTGCCTTCCTGTTATCTAGTAAGAAGACACGCTTCTATATTCAAATTCGGGCTGTACATTCAAATTGTCTACAGAATAATTAGTTGGCATGAAACAGAGATGATGTGTTCATACTCTTTGGGTCTTTGACGGTTCGATCGCAACACAAGCAATCACCTGAGGACGACTGCTTGTGTTGCCATCGAAACGTCGAGATTTTTTAAATTATTTTTCCATCTACGTGACTTTACCGACAGACCCACAGAGTAAGATTGTAAAGTAACAAGACAAAACAATTGGTTTCTTGAATCAAATCGTGACCTTGAATCATGACAATGCACAGAACGGTTCTGGGGTGAAACATTGCATGCCGAATTAATAGGGGCATGCAGCTACCTCCGTCTGCTGCAATTCCTCCTTGGACAGACTCAGCCCTTGCTTGGTCATCACCTCCAGCCGGTTCACCCAGTCCAGTCGTGGCACCTGCTCATCCATCTCCTCGAACTTGGCTGCGCAGGGTGTCAGGGACACGCATGCCGACGGTGAACAAGCGACCAAGGGTGCAAGCGAGAGATGAGCGAGTGATCGGGTGGGTGGGTGGGTCACGTGAGCAATTGACCGACCGGCTATAATGAGGTAGCAGATTGAGCAGGTGTAGAGGCAGCGGACGGTGATGTCGTGGCGGTCCATGAACACGTCTAACATTGCGATGGCCAGGTGGTGCGTGGCCACACTCAGCTGCAGGCGCTCGCTCAGCGTTGCCAGGAGGTCGACGAAGTGGCGACGGAGGTGCAGCTGGGGCGAGCGTGCGCAAAACCGAGGCAGCGACAGCTCCTGCGAGGGGGAAAAAAAACGAGGACGCGGGGGTTGGGAGGGCAGTTGGGACGCTGTGGAGTTGGGTCAAGAGGTCAAGAGGTGTTTTGAAACGATAATAGATTACTCTGGGGGTCTAAGGAGGCGACGCGCCCGGTTACGGTGGGCCACAGCATTTAATTGTCGCCGTCACGCAAACCAAGAGTGACAAAACCCACGGCCAAATTGTCTCCCTGTCCAAGCGAGTGAAAGATGGCGAAGAACTCATTCGGTAGTCCTCAGCCTACGATGAAACAAAACCACGAGGTGTGGAGATCCGTAGCTCCAAAGCACAGCCACTTTTATTCTTCCACAAGGTACCGTGTCGCTCGTGTTATAGTCCCCGGAGAGATAGGGGGCCGGGTGGACCCGCTGGCCAGGATTGAACTTGCAACCTCCTCGCTGCGAGTCGAGCACTCGAACGTACGTGCCGTGTAAATCAGTTAGTAGGATTTGTGTCTGCGTGTAGGAGGCCTATTGATGAGAGAGGCGGATACCTTCTCTCGAAGGACGCGGTAGATGTCATCTGCCAACTCGCCTTGCCACCACTCGCTTCTGTCCATGTCTTGGTCCGTCGCTCGCGCCTCGTGCTCAGGAGTTTATTACTTGGACAGGCACGTGCTGGGTACACACAAGTGTTCACGAGTGGAGTTTATTACTCGGACAGGCACGTGCTGGGTACACACAAGTGTTCACGAGTGGAGTTTATTACTCGGACAGGCACGTGCTGGGTATACACAAGTGTTCACGAGTGGAGTTTATTACTCGGACAGGCACGTGCTGGGTACACACAAGTGTTCACGAGTGGAGTTTATTTCTCGGACAGGCACGTGCTGGGTACACACAAGTGTTCACGAGTGGAGTTTATTACTCGGACAGGCACGTGCTGGGTACACAAAAGTGTTCACGAGTGGAGTTTATTACTCGGACAGGGACGTGCTGGGTGCACACAAGTGGAGTTTATTACTTGGACAGGCACGTGCTGGGTGCACACAAGTGTTCACGTGACAGATTTGACGTCACAGCTCACTTGCCGTGCAAAAAATAAATGCATTATTGAGCTCCCCCCCCCCCAAACAAAATAAAATGTATTTGTATAATGTTTGCACGGTGTACAGTCTGGAAAGTACCCACATGGCAAATTTCCAGTTTGTTGCATGTGGAGAAGTACAGACAACACACACATTCACAACTTTGCCTATAATATATATGGAGATTACCACAGGTTATACCCACGGGCACTTCGTGCTCAACAGAACATTAAGAATAAAGGCAGAATTTTCACAACACTTGGAAAATAAACATTTGCAATTTTTTGCAACAAAAAAAACAACACATTTTCCCATGCGTAAAAAAAATGCATTTGTTATTGACACGTGTGCAAACTTCATAATGTGTTTGCTTGAGCAAGACCGATTACATTATTGACGAAATCTTAAAAGTGCTCATGCTAAACCGGTTTCCAAACGTCTCAAGCTCACACCCTACCCCCGCTATGCATGTGGAATAATGTAAAAAATGTGTCCCGTTATGATGAAAAACAAAACAAAGTCTTACCAAACACTGTCCATTATTACACGGCGGGAAGGGAAATCGTTCAAGTAACAAACCGTGATTGTTTTAACGCCTCAATATGTCACGATATAGTCTAAATACAGCAAGTCTCAAGTCTTTCACGGTAACTACGGCCGGAGCGGGCAGCACGCAGCCACGTGGGAGTCGTCACGTGATGCAGCCGCCGACTCCCAGGACTCTCTACGCCCCGGAAGTGCTGCTGAGCGCCGGAAGCTGGAGGTGACGCGCCATCTGTGAGCCAGGGACTCCTGATTGGATGAGGTGTGGGCGTGGCCGACACCCGAGGGGGAGGCGACGGCCAGGGGATAAAGGGGGGGGGGGGAGAGAAAGACCCACACAGACCCATAGAGACCCACAGAGACCCATACTCATAGAGACCCATACTCATAGAGACCCACACAGACCCATAGAGACTCATAGAGACCCACAGAGACCCACACAGACTCACAGACTCATAGAGACCCATACTCACAGAGACCCACAGAGACTCATAGAGACCCATACTCATAGAGACCCACACAGACTCACAGAGACCCACACAGACCCACAGAGACACCCACAGAGACTCATAGAGACCCACAGAGACACCCACAGAGACTCATAGAGACCCACAGAGACACCCACAGAGACTCATAGAGACCCACAGACACCCACAGAGACTCATAGAGACCCACATAGACTCACAGAGACCCACAGACACCCACACTCACATAGACCCACAGACCCATACTCATAGAGACCCACACAGACCCACAGAGACACCCACAGAGACCCATACTCATAGAGACCCACACAGACACCCACAGAGACCCATACTCATAGAGACCCACATAGACCCACAGAGACCCATAGAGACCCACACACACTCACAGAGACCCACACTCATAGAGACCCACACAGACTCACAGAGACCCACATAGACTCACAGAGACCCACACTCATAGAGACCCACACAGGCCCACAGAGACCCATACTCATAGAGACCCACAGAGACCCATACTCATAGAGACCCACAGAGACCCACAGAGACCCATAGAGACCCACACAGATACCCACAGAGACCCACACTAACAGAGACCCTAAGTAAAACTAAACTAAGTGTATTGCCACCAGGGTGTAAGGGGGCCCCCCACTGAGTTGCTGTGCCAATCTTGGTCCACGCGAGCGGCCTGCCCTGCACCAAGTGAAAGCAGCTCCGTCAGGTCGCTCGTCACGTGGCAACGGCTTTAGAGCGGCCAGGAGAATATTCCTCGCACTCTTAAGACGCACCGCTCGGATCGCTAGGGATGGGTTAGCGCGTCTCCCACGTGCATGTGAATATTCACAGAGGGTGAACGTGGATGTAAGATAATTTTGTCGTGACGGTGCTCGCAGCTGCTGCGAGCTGCTAAGAGACACTTGCCCCTACAGTCTGTTAGAGGCCACACGGGGGGCCTTCACTGGAGGGGTTTGCTTTGCCGCACCAACGCTCCCCACACACACAGTGCACACACGGTGAACTCGTAAAGTGATGACAGGAAACGATGAGGTTAAATGTGCAAAAGTTTAATATATTAAACGGCAATAAACGCATTCAAGAGTGCGAGTGAGGTAAAAAAATAGAATTTCTACATTGAGGTAAACATTTTTTTTATATTCTGAGGTAAAAGCAAATCTTTTTTACATTGAGGTAAAAAAATAACATTCTGAGGTTAATTTTTTTATAAACATTCTGAGGTAGACAAAAAAATATTTTGAACATTACGAGGAACATTTTTTTTTACATTCTGAGGTAAAAACATGAACATTAAATTGTCCTTAAGGAGACATAAATTAACAAACGCTCTCTGTGTATCTATCTGTCTCTCTCTGTCTCTCTGTGTATCTGTGTCTGTGTGTGTCTGTGTGTATCTGTGTCTGTGTATCTGTCTCTCTGTGTCTCTTTGTGTGTATCTCATCTCAGTCAGTCGACCCGTGGCACCTGGGTCTGCCCCGTGACCTCCTGCCAGCGGTCGTTCGACACTTCACGTGGCCTCAAGGTGCACATGTCCTGGCACAAGCGTCGTGGTGACGCGATTCGCCACTTAGTGGCGAATGGCAGTTGTTGTTATTGTTGTGCATGTCTGTGTGTGTGCGTGTCTGTGTGTGTATGTCTGTGTATTTTGTACCATCGGACACTCCACCCCCACAACTCCCAATCGGTGATGGGGCAGTTGTGGAGAGAGTGGAGAGTTTCCCATACCTGGGCAGTGTGCTTATGACTGGCTCCAGTTTAACAGCAGAGGTCTCCCTCCGAATCAGTCGAGCGCCAATATCTTTGCATCGGTTGCGTAACGCTGTGTGGAAGCTACCTGGTCTGTCGCTCCGCACTAAGCTTCAGGTCCTCTCGGCCACGGTCATTCCCTCCCTTCTCTACGCTTGCGAAACGTGGACCCCCCTAATGGAACATCTTCGCCGGTTAGAAACATTTAAGCTGGCCTGCCTACGATCCATCCTGGGTTTAACCAGACTGGATTGTGTGAGGAGCTCACAAATCCTTGAAAGATCTGGGCAAGGTCCCATCGGTGAGCTCCTCCAGCGGGCAAGGCTGCAATGGCTGGGTCATGTAGCCAGCATGCCCTGCCACCGCATGCCGAAACAGCTTTTGTTCGGCCGGATTGAGGGGGCTAAGCGGGTGCGGCACGGGTTAGAGAAGAAATGGAGTGATGTGGTACAGGAGGACGTGGAGCTGAGTGGACTTGCCGATGACTGGTACCAGCGGTGTCAAGATCGGCCTCTGTGGAGGAGGCTCGTGAAGGATGCTACTGGGCAGTTGGAGGTAGTCGCACTCCAACAACAATGGAGGGCGGAGGAGCGACGCTCAGAACGAGCGGAGCGCCGGGTGGCTAAAGCACAGCAGGTTGGCACAGTAGGAGGCACAGGTGGTGCATCAGCCAGTCATCTCAGTCAGTCGACCCGTGGCACCTGGGTCTGCCCTGTGACCTGCCAGCGGACATTCTGCACTTCACGTTGCCTCAGGGTACACATAGCCTGGCACAAGCGTCGTGGTGACGTCACCGCCACTTAGTGGCGAATGGCGGTTGTTGTTGTTGTGTCTGTGTGTGTGTCTGTGTGTGTCTGTTGTGTGTCGTGTCAGGACAGGAACGTGTGCACCACAGAGTGGATCTCCCTGCGGCAGAGTGGGCAGGCCATGCCACGCCGCTGCAGCTCCAAGGCGCAGCGGCGGCACGTGGCAAGGTGACCGCTGTCGCCGTGAACTAACGTGCAGCTACGCGGCTCACTCCGGCACACCACGCACTCACCCACGATAACACCACCAGCACCACCCACACCACCAGCACCACCCACACCACCAACCACACCAACAACACCAACACTACCACCCACACCAACACCACCACCCACACCACCACCATCACCCACACCAACACCACCACCCACACCACCGCCACCACCACTGCCACCACCACCCACACCAACACCACCACCCACACCAACACCACCAACCACACCAACACCACCACCACCACCCACACCACCACCATCACAACCACCACCCACACCACCGCCACCACCACCCACACCACTACCACCACCACAACCACCCACACCACCACCCACACCACCACCACCAACACCAACAGCACCGCCACCGGTTGGAGCGCAAGATGGAGAGGAAGTGGTGGAGGTGGTGGTGACGTTGGCACCGGCTGAAGGGGAAGAAAAAGAAGAGAGTGAGTGAGTGAATGTGTGAGTGTGTGAGTGTGTGACTGTATATGGGTAGCGGTAGTGTAGTAGTAGTTAGTGCTACGTCGCGCTATGAACCCGGGGAGGGAGTGAGAAGGAGGGAGGGAGTGAGGAGGAGGGAGGGGAACTTCACCTCGCCTGCTGTCGGCCGTCACTATGGAGAATGACTTCACGAACAGCGCTGCCACCGAGTGTCTGGAAGAGAGAGACAGGGAGATCCAGGCTGCGTTTGGATGCAGGCACTATCTCCCGCCCCTCTCTC